CTATCAGTGGGGAGGAGAGCAGAGTAATGAAGCCAATTCATAGAGAGGGATTATTAAGAGGCCATGATTGGTGAGGGCCAATGGGAAATTTGGCCAGGACGCCGGGGTTACACCCCTACCTAGGTCATGGGCTTAGTCCACACTGTGGTGACAACTGTTGTATCTTTGAGCAGAATACTTTCTCCTAGTTCCTCCAGGCAATACTGTGTGTGGGTACCAGTGTTTGCTGCAATGGCCTGGTGTGTGATCAGGCAAGGATAGTCTCCCTAGCAGGGCTCGTAACCTGCCAGTGTTCTGCACTTACTGCAGTAACATGCATAACAAATATATCAACTACAGCAATTGAAAATACACAAATGGGGCCAATATCCAATGCTCAATACTGTTCAAATAAATGACATTAATACTTCATTGGTACTGACAGGAATGACTTAGAGACTTACAGAATGATATAAGATTGGTGCAGAGATAAAAATATTTGAAAGTAGTTTTTTGTCCAATTTGTTGGTTAATGTTTAAGATTTTTCTTGGAGAAACGATTTACAGGAAAGTATCTTCTGAAAGCAGGACATACTTCATATGGGAAAGAATATGCACACCACTGAACCTATGTAAGGGTCAAAACTGTGTTTTGGTGCGTGTTTTTCACAGCATCTCCTCTTTAAGAGTTGGACTAGGTGAATCGGCGTGTATTTCTGTTAACTGTGTGCAGGTGACGAGCTTCCTTGTGATATGAGGATCTCGTTGGACAAGCAGGACAAGCTGCATGGATGTCTTGAACACCTCTTTAATCAGGTATAGTATTGTCTTTTTTCTCTGTATGATCACCTTACTTTCTGGTTTGATGAAGGCTCGTGGGATGTCCTGTAGATGAGGTTTTTATTGCTTGAACTGTACTGTAAGAATGTCTGGCACCTTGCTTGAAGAGGCTCAGATGACACGCTATTCATTCTCAGACTCCCAACCAAGCAATGTCACTTAAAAATAGTCCAAGACGGCCAGATTCTGCTACGAGTGCAGCTTCTTTGTAATCCGTTTGAGAACATTTTGTACAGATGATTCTGATCAAAAAAGGTTCAACATCTTTACTGAATTATCTCCCTCCTCTGCCTGCGATTGCCTGCAGCCTTACACATTGCCGTGGGATTCAGAATTAGAGAATGTTTCGCTCCCCTATCCCCCCTTACCAGTGTTTTGTGACCTTTAACCTTGTTAAAGGTTTACCAGCTAGGACAGCAAGCTTTAGAGTCCTATTCCATTACACAAAATGAATTATCTCCGAACGAAGACATGGTCTCTGGGGATGTGCTGACTGCTTTGTGCTTTTGTGCTGACTGCTAGGATCCACTTTGTATCCTTGTGCAGGTTGATTCCATTAACAACTTACTGAAAGGACCAGTAATGACAAAGGCCAGCGAGGAAACCAAGCACTTTCCAATGGACTACAGTCAGCCAGGTAGCCAACTCTATGCTGTTATGAAGCGCAATACAAAACTCTCGACATCTCAGTTCTGGTGGTGAAATGAGTTTGCTTTTATTATTTTACCTGTGATGTACACACCTGAAAGCTGCACTGATTAAACACAAAATTGACCACTAGTCATTAATCACTTGTGGTATCTCTAATCCTATTACATTGCTCCAATGCCTAGTCTACACTTGCTCCAGGGCACATACTTTACAGTACGGCGCAAACAGAGTGGAATCACAGCATTTCTCCTTGTCCCCCTTCAGAATTCCGTCACACGGAGGACTGGACCTCGTGCTGCCGCAGTGTGATCCACAAGAACATCCAGGAGGACCCCTGGAACCTGCCCAGCTCCATCAGATCCCTGGTGGATAATTTGCAGAGATTTGTGGAAGGTCAGTGAAGTGAAGTGAAGTGAAAGCAAGCGTGCCTTTGCTGGGCATCAGCCTGCAGGGGTTTATAAACCAAAGGGATTCTTTTAGCGAGATGCAGGGTGCCATCTGAAAGTCCTGTACAAGCAAACAGTGTGGACAATATGCAGTAAGTAGTGTTTCAGCGATTTGTTTAGGGAAGGTCTAAAAATAAAATACATGTTTTCAACTAATATGTAAATCGATTTGCTGACATGATTGCATGCTTACACCCGAAGAAGGCTCCACAGCCGAAACGTTGTGTTTTCTTTCTTCTCTTTTCAGCATGGAATAAACCTATTACTTGTTCCTAAAATGTAAATCTACTACTTTGATCCAAATAACTTGATTTATAGATGGATTGGTTTTCCTTTGGAACGCAGGATCATATCTTTTGAATTTTTATCCACAGATGGGAAGAATCAGCTCCTTCTGGCTTTGCTGAAATGCACAGGTACTGAAATAAACACACTTTCTCAATCTGTGTGATGTGGTGTATGTACTCTACTCTTCATCCTCCTATTATTTGTTTTTTACTAGACTGCTGCTCATCTGAAATGCATGTTATGCTTCTCTCTTTTTATCATGTTATTCAAATCATGACCAGTAGATAAACTAATGCTACAGACCAATTATA